GGATAGATACCTTTCATTATAAGGATTGGGTAGCTAAACCAGCTATATTTCATTAAGTTCCTCTGATTACTTCTAAACTCCATCCATCTATTCATCCATCCATCCATCCATCCATCCATCTATTCATCCATCCATCCATCCATCCATCCATCCATTTTCTGCACACGCTTATTCCTTTCAGGGTCGCGTAGGTCACTGGTGCCCATATCCAGCAGTCACAGTGCGAGGGGTGGGTACACCCTGGACAGGTCGCAAGTCCACCACAGTACTTCTAAACTATAGTAAAGAAATGTAAAACCTTGTTTTTTAGTATGAGAACACGCCAGAGCTGTTACGCTGGATGCAATAGAAATGTCATGTTACAGCCGTTCCCATACACACCCAAAGATAATGAGCAGCATGGGGCTTAGCCTTAGCTTTTGTTCCCTGGATCGGCCTCTTCTTCCACAAGGGCTCCTTCCTGCTGTGGCTGGTTTTATACTTATCATTTCTTTTTCTCCTTCATGCATTTATTTATCTCACATGGTTTGCATTGAGCCTGTTTTCTCATCCTGCTATGTGGCCTCACCACATGGACACTGATGTGCAATGACCGATTATGGCCTCAAAGTCTAAGGCCCATTCTGTCACCCTCCCACTGCATTTATAGTGTCTGACACACACGGTGATTGATGGGGAGGCCATGCAGAAGCATAAAGCCCATGTACATCTCACAACTGTATGTTTATAAGGTTTGTACTGTAAATGCAGTCATATATATATATATATGACTGCAGAAGTGCATAAAAACTGTCCATACTTCTGAACCCTTTGAGAATGACCTAAAAACAGTGGTAGGGAAAAATGCTGTGCTTGTACTGTATGTTTCAACACTTATCCACACAAAAGACACCAAGTGACTCTGTCTTCCCCACATAAAGTGCCTCCTCCGTGGCGGCAGTGAACTAAACATTCTGTTACTGTCATGTTTTGATGGACGGCCTGAGGCAGTTGTCARTGCCGTTGGATCTGCTTGGCTTTGCTGCCTTCTGCCCTGTAATTGTGTGGCCACCACAGAATCCTAACTCATATGCCACAATGTGTTCTCCGTGACAAATGAGAGTCAGGACCAGACCATACTGCTTGCTACAGCCTTTAAAGCGGCCCTCTGCGATTAGCAGAGCAGTGGTGAGAGCTCAGCCAACTGGGGTGATAGGGAAGCACGGAGAGAGGATTCAAACAAGTGCTCTCTCATTTTGTTGCTGTACAAAACTCTACTGTGACTCACAATAAATAGAAGTAATGTGATGAACCAGACATAGTGAGATGATGAGATGGGTAGATGGATAGAAAAATAGTAAAACTGCTTTGACATTGGGTAGGGCAAGAAATCCTCCAGAGTAGGCAGAACACCAGGAAACCTAATTTTTTTAAACATTTCATAAAGACCAATTAAAGCTAATAAATTACTCCCTGAAGCACACACGCATGCATACATGGACACATACACATCGGCACGCACACACACCACAAACACAGCTTTTCTGCTCTCCAGCCATAGAACCAACCTGACTCTGCACACTTGCACAATTATTTGAAGATCAACTCAATCAACAGCTCTTTGTGAGCATACCATCTGCTTTATGAGAGCATTGTAAGATGGTAAAAGTACAACAATTTTTAAAAGCTCTATAAAATCATCAATAACACTACATGTAGTGTAACTGTACTGTACTGCTTTGATTTTGACTTACCCATGACTTTGTTTTAACATACAAGACTTTTTTCAGTAAGATTTCAGTAAGTAAGATATTCATGCAAATTTTAGGGACACTGTGGGTACATAAACAGTAGGGTTGGGGATAAGATGGGTATACAATACATCAAGTGATTCCAACAATAGCAACAGTACTGCTTTGAATAATGCCCTTTAAAACTTTGCTACAAATGTAATCCCAGTTGTGGGTTATACAGGTTTATGATAGGGAGTCTGTTACTGTCGTGGTGGAGGCAGCAGGTGACAATAAAAAATGAGCAGAAAAAGAGATGACTGGATGTTGTAAAATGCCTGCGATGTATGGAGTGGGTGGAATACAACAGCTGGATTGAGTCATAAACTGCAAGGCAAATATACTGTTAGGCTGACTATACTTTTTGTTTTCCTCTGGAAAACATGGACTATCGCAACAAAGTGCAACAAAGTGGAACCCTAAAATTCTGCCTTTTTAAAACAAGGAGCCATGATCTAGGTCAGGGCTTCTTAATCTTTCTGACCTCAGGGCCCAATTTATTGAACATAAAGTGACACGAGGCCCAGTCAGACATTAC